AGTCAATAGCTCTAAGGAACCGACAAATTAACAGAAAAAAAAAGAATATATATATATATACAGTTGAGATAAAAGAAGGAATTATTATAGAAATAAAAAAAAAATTATATATATATATATAATTAGTTATAGAAGAATGGGTTGATCAAGAAGTTTAAAAAAAAATCATATATATATATATAACGTGGTTGGACATTGCAATAGATGTCGCCTCGGGAAAAAAAAAACATATATATATATATAATACGAGTGTTGTTGAGTTCACAGTTTCTGTTTGACTTTGTTTCATATTAATCCAATTAATCAATTGTTACACTTGTTTTTAAATTTAAAAAAAAAAAAAAAAGAGAAAAGAAAAGAAAAGAAAATATAGAAATATTTAAGAGTATAGTCTATAAGCGCCCTTAGCACATATATATATATATAGATCATGATCATGATGATGATGATTGTGCAATGCAACCTAAAAGGCAACTGCAAAGAGGCTAAGCGAACATGAAAAACCAAATCTTTAATAAAAAAATAAGAAGAAGATATATATATATATATAAGACAACAATAAAAGGCACAACAATTAAAAAAAAACAAAGTAAAGCAAGTAAAGAAATAGAACAAAACATATATTATATAGAAAAGAAAAAAAAAAGAAACTGAAAATATTTTAAAGCAATGTTGATTTTTTTTTCTAGAATCTAATCAAAAAAAAATTAATTAATGTAATGAGAAATAAATGAAAATTCTAGATCTGTAAGCGTGTGCGAAAAAAAAAAGATTCCGAATTAAAATTAATTGCAAACTATTTCGACTTTATGCAAGCATTAAAAAAAAACCATAGCATTAACTATAGCAAACCAACAACAGCGTCATGAAATGTCAAGAAATAAAAAAAACGGGCACGAAGAACATAACAAATAATAAACATCAAATAAACACTAAAATGAAAAAAAAAAAAACCAAACCAAATCGTTTCACTCAAAGGGGCCCTTCAATTGGGAGCAAATGGTAAAAAAAATGATAGAGACCAATCGTACAGCTCTAATAGATCTGCGATGGCTTACAGCGACAAAAAAAAATCACAAAGTATTATCTAATATTATGATTACATGATTTTGGGTATATTTTGAGTTATCCGACTTGCGTGAGACGAAACTAGTTTCGGGAGTACACAACACTCCCACTAGGGGCGTAAAAAAAAGATAAATAAATTTCCTGGTGTCTTTCCAAATCAATCTAGTTGACGTACTAGAAAAAAAAAATTTGAAATGGGAACAAATTCAAAAAGATATCACAGATATAAAGGACTGTCCATAAAAAAAAAATAAAGATATTATTCAACTAGTCTATCTCCTTCTCACTCTTGACCGCTCTCTAAAAAAAATATCCACTGCTTTTCCTCGCCACTCCCTCACCTTTACCCTAAAACAACGTTCCCCTCTGCCCCTTTGCCTTCCCCTCCCTATATGTATATCCTACCCCACTCTCATCATATCCCTCTCTAATCCTCATTCCCATTTAACGTCACTGCCCCTCAATGTCTGTAAAGGTCACCGAACGCTCAAGGTCACTGAGCCTCAAGGTCACTGAGCTGCAAAGTCAATGATTCCCTAAGGTCACTGAACCCTGAAGGTCCCCCCCTCAAGGTCACTGGGTCGATCTCAGAAGATATAAGATCTAGAGAGCTGAAATTTCGCAGGTATACTTATGTATACCATACGCAGTACAAGTTTATCATATTTTTTCGATAACTGACCTGACACCTTTTTTATCGAGAACAATCGATAAATTGATATCGGTTTTCAGCTTTATATGAATAATATTAGACCTGGAGACTTCAGATTCATGTATATATATTAATAGATATTTTCAAAGATTTTGTAATTTATAGATTTTGGATACAACGGCCCATAATTTCAAAAAAATGTATTTCAAGTACTAGAGGCTTGTGCTTTGGAATATACACATACTTAAACATTATGATTACGTTCTGAGAGTTTCATGAGTATAGTCCGTCTACAAAATATATTATTCATCAAATAATGTATGTATGTATGTATGTGTGCGTAAAATAAGTGCAGAACGATTCGAATATCAGCTTGGAGGGTTCAGGGTATCTCTTAGTCGAGCAGTCTCGACTTTGCTCAATCAGCATATCATCATCTAATGAGGAGTCCTGAAGTCTTTAGTAAGAATGTATTCCAGACATCAAATAAAGGTTTTGAGTGAGATTTGAATAGATGAGAGCAGGAGGAGAGAGCGCTTCCTCTCAGCAGCAG